GCTTGGAACATGTACAATGCAATAATTTGGATGATGGGAGTGTGTAGGCAAAACAATACAATTACCCAAAGATAGAAATTTTGGAACACGTAGAATGCAGCTTGAAACATGAACAATGTAATAATTTGAATGATGGGAGTGTGTAGGCAAAACAATACAATTACCCAAAGATAGACATTTTGGAATACGTAGAATGCAGCTTGGAACATGTACAATGCAATAATTTGGATGATGGGAGTGTGTAGGCAAAACAATAAAGATATACATTTTGGAACACGTAGAATGCAGCTTGAAACATGAATAATGTAATAATTTGAATGATGGGAGTGTGTAGGCAAAACAATACAATTACCAAAAGATAGACAATTTGGAACACATAGAATGCAGCTTGGACATGTACAATGCAATAATTTGGATATGATTGGAGTGTGTAGGCAAAACAACACAACTACCAAAAGATAGAAATTTTGGTACACGTAGAATGCAGCTTGGAACATATACAATGCAATAACTTAAATAATTGGAGTGTGTAGTCAAAACAATACAATTACCGAAAGCCTATAATCACTGGTCTAGCTTTAGTCGTTGTTTTTTTTATTATCGACCATGAATCCGTGGCAGTTTTTCGTACGAAAAAACCTCATGAATACGAAATGAACTCAACCAATCAGAAACACGTATGGAGAAGAGTCTATGCATATGCATATGCATATTATAAATCACGTGACATTACGTCATTTTCTTCATCCAAGATGGCGGGTAGTTCATGCGACGACGATCTTCTGCGAGAAAGTTTATCATATGCGGCCAACAAACTAGGCATTCCTAATGGAAAATTCAGAGAACTGCAGGAATCCGCTATTCGTAGCGTTATTGAAGCCGGCAGGGATATTTTTGTTGCATTACCTACTGGTTTTGGAAAGAGTGCAATATACCAAGCAATCCCCTTGTGCTGTGATTTTCTACGCGACCACGGATTCTATGATCATGATGACTCGAGTCGTTGCCGTTGGCAGAACGAAAGTACCGCCGTAAAAACTAGTACCGGTACCAGTAGTGGCACTACTGGCACTACCAAAACATTTATTGTTCACATAAAACTACAATTTTTTAATTTTTTGATATTTCACAGTAGTAAAATGATCATTTAAAAGATTTTTTTGGTTTCATCTCCCCTTCTTCCTTTTTATTACCCCTATTTTGAAATGGACGAGCGCAATCTTTTTTCGTTGCGGTTTCTTATATCTGATTGGTCGAACGTAACATAGGTGTACCTTATTTGGTAGGGCTGTTGAATGATTCATAGATCCGCCATTTTGAATATATATGAATATTGATTAGCTAGACCAGTGATTATAGGCGGTGAGCCGCTTCGCGACTCACGGTTCGTAGTCTCGCCGTATCAGACGTTCTGCTTAGGGTTAGTCTAGCAGCAAAGAAAAAAGCTCGGCACTCCGCCTAGATTATAGGCTAAGGCATATTGGATTTTGACCAGCGAAAGTTGGCGTTAATTTCAGAGTGTTTCAGTAAACGTGTTCAACGTTTCTTATTTCGCTGTCTAAACGGAATTAGGCAATTGGTATTGTGAACATAAATGTAAATTTCGAAAAATAAATAAACAGACTATTTGTAATACCGAAATTTTTATTCACGTTTTTACTTCCTTTTGTGGAGTTCGGGAATAAAGAAAAAATTGCAAGAAAAACTTTACAGAAAATATTATGCTGCTGGATTAACAAGTGTCGTATTTGAGTTATAGAGACAAAACGAGGAAGATGAGCAAAATCTTTTGACAACCTAAACTGTAGTGTTCTTGGATGCTTGATTCACGTTTTCAATACTTTTCATCTTTTGAGATTTTCTTTACAATCATCAACCTTAGTTCGGCAGGATTTTATCGAATAATTCGGATTTCTTTTCCATCGGTCAAAATGGTGAGTCCTCGAATGGAATTATTTTGACAATGATTTATTCCTAATAGTTCTAGATAACAGTATACATTCTCAGATTTTATTGAATAACAGTTGGCCAGTATTTGTTTTGCGTGACTGCTAAAGTATGTGTATGCTAATATGCTTATCAACCAGGGAACCTACGCCCTTAAATCATAAATGACAGTAATGAGGATTAATGCCCCACAAAAGGGCACTAATATAGCACATCGACACGGTTTTGATCCTGGGGCCTCACAGTTACGAGGCCATTGCTTTGCCACTGAACCATGAATGTACGCAGCGGGGGCTAGGGTAGGGGGTCGTTCCCACAAATAGAAACAAACAAAGAAAATGCAATATGTTATCAATAATTCATTGCATTTTACCCCGGTCCCCAACATTAAAAAAATCCTCTGTACGGCCATGTATAATGGCTCAAGGCATGGGCACAATGAAGATTTTTTTTCTGTTGGGGACCGGGGGGGAATCAATTTACTTTAAAATGCGATATTCCACGATTCCACATAACGAATAGAAGATTCCACATGAAGAATAGAAAATTCCACGCCACAAAGAACTAAGGAATACATGCCCCCCCCCCAATCAAGGACTTTAAAAGTGCCCCTTTTTGCTGAGGGAAAGTGCCCTTTTTTATTTACGCAAATGTCCATTTTTACTGCTAAATGCCCTTTCTCATTTCAAATAAAGTATCCCCTTTTCGCCTCTGATAAGTGCCCCTTTTTAAAATTGCCCTCTTCCCTTATTAAAGGTGCCCCTTTCAAATTTTATAAGTACCCCCTTTTTTAAGTATATAGGTTTTCTTTGTCAATTTTTTTTAAGTGTCCATTCTCCCTTCATATTTGCAACATTCTACCTTAATTATCCTTTGTCGCTTATTATGTCATTTTACAGTCATCTTAAGAGTCATATCTTGATTCAAGAAGAATCGGTGTAGTAACAGGTACTCAATATTTCTATCATCATAGTAACAGGTTCCCTATTTCTAAAAAGATGAGGCATGGGGGCATAATGCCCATAATTTTATAAGAACGAACTATGCCCCTGTTATTGAATCTAATAGTGCTCGTTTTCACCGCTATCAAATGCCCCTGCATTACCATGAAAATATGTTTTTGTCACCCCTAGTCTACCCCCTAACAGAGTATATCTCAAATTTCTTGATATTTTTAATAGGCCATTTTATAATGTAACCAAATTTATTCCTACGCCTTTGTGAAGCGCCTTGATACAAATTTACTGTATCTCAATAGTCAGAATTCAAATTGGATATATAAGTTTTTGCTAAGTAGGACCAGGCAAACATTATGGCTTGCCCTATGTTACAACACGTAATACAATATGCAATTCGCGTTCCGACTATTGAAATACAATTATTCGTAACAGGTGAATGAAATGATTCGTATCGAAGCACTGAAGTATACATTTGGTTACATTACGAAAATGGCCTATGTAGAGGGACTAAGTTCTTGAAGATGAATGTATATCTACGAGATTTATCTGCAGTGAAGTAGGGTTTATTGTCCTGAAATGGCAACATGTCACATGTAGCCTTTGTATTCTTATGTACATGTACGTCAGTCTTCAGTCATGTACTGTGCTGCATTTATCAGTATTAATTAATAGACATTTTGAATATCGAACTTCAAGCCTTTCATCATCATCTAATATCAAGCATTTTCCATTTCTTTTCTGTTTTGACATGTAAAGGACAAAGATCTCATACGAGGTGTGGTCCTTGTTTTCTTGACATGTGTTTCCTTCGGTACGTATGATTTTGATCAACGATGATATATTAATCTTATTATTATCATTATTATTATTATCATCATTATCATCATCATCATTATCATCATCGTTATCATCATCATTATCATCATAATTATTATAATTATTATAATTATTATTATCATTACATTGATAGTGGCATTAGGAGTCTTCAACAGTAATACAATGAAACAGTAGACACTGGGTTCTAATCGGTTAATACCACGACAGAATCTTAAAGTAGATATTTATTGATTTTAAAAACTAACTTTATTTTCATTATTGCAAAGTTGAAACTCTGATTCGACAAGGTTATCAAAATTCAATGCTTGGAAACAGTCAAAGTAATGATTATTATATATTACAAAACGCTTAAATACAGCCCCGGCATAGCACTTGAAGAGCTCTCAGAACGCTGCTGAGATGTGTGAGATCACAGTATGGACATGATTTGCACAAGCAGACGATGTCCCATGACATCTCACACATTTTCAGTGCCTGTGTTTTCATCTTCTCTTGAGTTCTTTCTCTTACTTCACTACCGTCAGGCTAAATGTATAATCTATTGCCTCACTCTAAACCCCGCCCATGGTTTTATTTTGATGACAAATGCAGCGATACAAAAATAAAGGAATCTGTCGCTTGTAAACAAAGTTAGACGCCATTGTATATTCAGCTGCACACACCGCGGTATGTTCGGCATTTCAGGAGGGTACAAATGCCGTCCTTCATATCATTCCGGGGGGGGGGGGGTTTCAATTTGAAAGTCTGGTTTCTTTGATTGTTAATTAACCCCTATCCTGTGTATTTACAGGCAAAAGATTTAAGTTATCATAATCGGGTCATATCCCCTTTTGATTGGTTTGACATGCCATTACATTACATTTATATACACTAAACTCATTATAATTTGACAAATAATAGCTGTGCAATTATGTTCATTCTTTATGGGATGTCGTCTACTTAGGCAGTATTGGTCCATATAGTGACGTCATTAAAACATCGTTATTTTTCCGGCGAATCTCTCGTATATCCCGGCTGCGATGAAGGTGGTTGTATTTGTATTTTTTATAAATCACCCGATATGTAGTTGACCTAAAATTTGTACGATGGCCATTTGTTAGCTTACAGTTTCTTGTGATACATTAGTTGAAATGTTTGTGATTTTCTTTGAATTTCACCTTTAACTCAATTTTAGATTCTCTCTTGGTTTATATCTCGTTCAAAGCCTCTCTCGTTTCTTCAAATGAGTACACAGGTACCTGTTTTTCGGAAGGATTAGGGCTGAATTACACCTTACCAATGTTCAACGAGTGTAAGAAGGAACTGCATTATAATGGCAGCATGGTACAGACCATTCCAAAGCTCATCTCATACACATCTAATGAGGAAGCTGCTTGTCCAAGAAGGAAGAGTAAACTGGGGATCCCACCCGGACACAGAGTGTGCAGATTACCTGGTAAGTCGTTCTTTGCCTGCTATAAACATTATAAAACATATAATCTGTTCTACTGTTCTTTTGAAAATGTAATAATGTAAGTCCTAGCCAAAAGTGTCATAAGATTCGATATTTATGTTAGAGACCATTTTAAGACATTGACAACAAACGTTGACAGTCTATCCATAACAGTCGGATGTTATAGTCTGAGGAGTAGCCGAACCCCCCCCCCCCTAAACAAAAAAAAGATGGCTTGACTTCATCCACTAAACACGAAAAACTGTCAAAAGCTTAAAACTTCGATTTAAAAAAAGAAAAGTTCCTGAGGAGGGGTGTTGTATTTATTTTGTAGTTATATTTTACAGGGTAACATTGTTAGTTACAAAACTGCTTTACATAATGACCCTTTTGGCCTTGATTAAGTATGTATATAAGATGATTAAATATTGAATTTATAGAAATATCAATTAATTTCTATTTAAGTGTTGTTTCCTAAAAAAGTTTGAAGTCGATGATAGTTGAAAAGGCATTTTCTTAATTCAATTCAATTCAATCAAGGTTTATTAAAGACATGAATGGCATTCATAGACTGAATTGTACATGCTTTCACAGTGCAGGTAAAATATAATACAAGTATAAGATAACAACATGAGATCAGAAAAATGGAATTAAATATAATATGTACAAGCATAATTTAAAATTTGATTGGTGAAATTATAGTAAAAATATATACGGAATTTAAAATGACTGATTGAGATTGCTTCACTGTCAAATATAACATAATGTCGCACAGCTGTTAAGGCAATTACAAGCTCGGATTTTCATAGTGAACATTTAACATACACGTTAGATTGGGAAGAGCACTGTTCTGGAATCTCTTAGAATTTCAAGAAAATCCCTGATTGTTATTGACGAATCGTAAATTGTATTTGTTGGTTTTCGGTGGCGGTAACCATGATTTGCACAGTAAATTCGTTTCTAGTGCAGTAGCCAGATCTTCGGTGAGTTTTACTCTTCGAGTCACAAGGGTTGGCAATTTCAGTCTTTCTATAGAGCATTGTCATATGAAGTATAATTTAATCCTTATATATCTTATAGGCTCTTTTTTGTATACTTTCTATAACATCAATCTGTTAACAAGTCAAACAGAAACCAGCCAATGCTAATTTTGAAGGACATATCGGAACAACTGACAACCAATACCAAAATAATTAATTATTTTGTGGGGTATGGGTGAATATGGACGTGTGTGCATGTGATTTTTTTGTCGTATTCGGTTCAGGTTTATACTTTCATATCATGAATGATTTGCCTGCCTATTCACGAGTAATATAATACATTCCGTCCTCCACCATGATTATAAAACATATAATCTGTTCTACTGTTCTTTTGAAAATGTAATAATGTAAGTCCTAGCCAAAAGTGTCATAAGATTCGATATTTATGTTAGAGACCATTTTAAGACATTGACAACAAACGTTGACAGTCTATCCATAACAGTCGGATGTTATAGTCTGAGGAGTAGCCGAACCCCCCCCCCTAAACAAAAAAAAAGATGGCTTGACTTCATCCAGAAAAGGAAATAATGTATACATCACTAAACACGAAAAACTGTCAAAAGCTTAAAACTTCGATTTAAAAAAAGAAAAGTTCCTGAGGAGGGGTGTTGTATTTATTTTGTAGTTATATTTTACAGGGTAACATTGTTAGTTACAAAACTGCTTTACATAATGACCCTTTTGGCCTTGATTAAGTATGTATATAAGATGATTAAATATTGAATTTATAGAAATATCAATTAATTTCTATTTAAGTGTTGTTTCCTAAAAAAGTTTGAAGTCGATGATAGTTGAAAAGGCATTTTCTTAATTCAATTCAATTCAATCAAGGTTTATTAAAGACATGAATGGCATTCATAGACTGAATTGTACATGCTTTCACAGTGCAGGTAAAATATAATACAAGTATAAGATAACAACATGAGATCAGAAAAATGGAATTAAATATAATATGTACAAGCATAATTAAAATTTGATTGGTGAAATTATAGTAAAAATATATACGGAATTTAAAATGACTGATTGAGATTGCTTCACTGTCAAATATAACATAATGTCGCACAGCTGTTAAGGCAATTACAAGCTCGGATTTTCATAGTGAACATTTAACATACACGTTAGATTGGGAAGAGCACTGTTCTGGAATCTCTTAGAATTTCAAGAAAATCCCTGATTGTTATTGACGAATCGTAAATTGTATTTGTTGGTTTTCGGTGGCGGTAACCATGATTTGCACAGTAAATTCGTTTCTAGTGCAGTAGCCAGATCTTCGGTGAGTTTTACTCTTCGAGTCACAAGGGTTGGCAATTTCAGTCTTTCTATAGAGCATTGTCATATGAAGTATAATTTAATCCTTATATATCTTATAGGCTCTTTTTTGTATACTTTCTATAACATCAATCTGTTAACAAGTCAAACAGAAACCAGCCAATGCTAATTTTGAAGGACATATCGGAACAACTGACAACCAATACCAAAATAATTAATTATTTTGTGGGGTATGGGTGAATATGGACGTGTGTGCATGTGATTTTTTTTGTCGTATTCGGTTCAGGTTTATACTTTCATATCATGAATGATCTGCCTGCCTATTCACGAGTAATATAATACATTCCGTCCTCCACCATGATATCAAGAACGAGCAACACTCAAGTATATTAATTTCAATTGTTCATATCAAGTACGGTTACCGTGTGGTTTTCTTAACAACACAACATGACGAACAATATGATGATACACCCGAGAGATTCGAAATTTAATCTAATTAGTGGATAATTAATCAGTCAAGTATAGTCTGTTTACCATCAATAGTAGCATAAATTTTGGCACTGGTGACAACGACTGGTCTCTGCTTCCCTCATTTCTGGACAAGAGGTTTTGGAACAAGATCTGTCAATATAGATCAATTATATTAGCAGTGATATTGTAAGAAACTAATACTATTTGTATTCTATTTTATTTGTTGATATCATAAAATAACAGCTATTTACAACAATGCTGATGTACAGTATTCATGCATTCGTAACATATCATATATAGTACAAAACATGAAACTAATGTAACATAATCACTAACTAACTAAAGTATTGATTTTTTTTGTTACTTCGTTTGTATCGAATTTCTTTTGATTACATTTCATATCGAGATAGGTGCGAATTTCTACCTTTAATTTTTTTACCAAATATACAGCATGTATCCTATACTTTTCACTTCCAAAACATTCTCTAATATAGTTTCTATTGATAATAAACTGAGCAAAGCTTAATATAAAATCGACAAGATTCATTTCTCTTCTCTCTATTTCATGACCTATTAAAAGATTTTTATCGTTCAAAATGATTCTTAAATCAAACAAAGTATCGATTATTTGGATACAATCTTCCATTACATAGATAATTCAAAATATGCGTTTAAAAAAAAACTACTTCAAAGGAATCACCTGTTACCATTCATATCGCACTGGATTACATTGCAGACGATGAACTTTGTACATATTGTATCCTTTTACGTAACTTCTGCAACCCAAAAGTCGGTAAATGCACTTTTTAACTTTGCCAATTTTAAGGCCCGGTCACACAGAAAGGACGCATGGGGGACGCACGGCCAGCGCATTGGAAATTTCCAAATTTGGACCAATGCTATGCATTCGTGGTCATTCGCTGTGTGCGTCGGGATTTTTTGAGCATGGTCAAAAGTGTGCGCGGAGCTCGACGCATGAATGTACACGTACACGCCAAAGGGACGCCAGACCTGCTCGGAGCGCGCTAGACCAATGCCAGACAAACATGGAGCACACGCCCTGTATACGTGCAGCGCGCTAGCAACACGTTATGCATTTGGTGTCAGCTCGCTTGCTTCTCCCCTTGAGCCCCCCATGCGTCCCCTCTGTGTGACCGGGCCTTTAAGGCCCGGTCACACATAGACGACGGACGGCCCGCGCATTGAAAATCAGAAAAGGTCGTGCGCCCGACTTTTGTCAGGATTTGGGAGAAGCTAGCGAGCTGACACCGAATGTGTAGCGTGTTGCTAGCGCGCTGCGCGTAAACAGGGCGTGTGTTCCACGTTTGTCTGGCGTTGGTCTAGCGCGCTTTGCGCGGGTCTGGCTTCCTATTGGCGTTTACATCCATGCGTCGAGCTCCATGCACACTTTTGAGCGTGCACAAAAAATCCTGACACACACAGGGAATGACGTCGAATGCATAGCGTTGGTCCAGCGCACTCGACGAACGAGTAACGCAGTATGACGCACACATAACGCACGTCAACGCACTGGCAAAAATTGCAAATTTTCAATGCGCGGGCCGTGCGTCCCCCATGCGTCCCTAAGGCGGAAAGTAATTCATTTTCTTGAAAATTAACAAAAATGGAATCAACTTTTTCATATTATGTTTACTGTAAGACTTGTTTCACTTTGAGGATATTGTTTCTTATTCAGTTTGGAAAATGCCATAACTCATTCCTATATTTAATGTTGCTCTTAGTATTATATCAAAACGTTTCATTTTTAAATATCTGTTACTTTAAACATATCAATATATTTCAATTCAGCCCAGGGACAAAACATGTCAACATTAAAGTCAGGCAACTGTTTGTTTCTACAAATACGATACATATTGCTATTTTTGCAATTAAAATGCAAACAAAGAGGCAAATCTCAAATGTTGTGGATCCAGTATTTAAACAAAATTTTCCAAGCACTTTGCTCACTTCTTAAATACTTATAAGTCCATGATAGACGGAGTGACCGGCATTTCGACTCGAAGTCCATCATTCCCAGCCCCCTTTTATTTCATGATTGTGACAGAAGTTTTGTTTAAGAAACTACTACTCATACTACTACTACTACTACTACTACTACTCCTACTACTAATAATAATAATACTACTAATAATACTACTAATAATAACAATAATAACGAACGTTCACAAGGCGTCGTTCCCATCATAATTGACAGCGCTGTCGCATCCAGTGGTCAGACAATGTAGACAAAGGGTATTTGAATGGTGTAGCTTTCATAGATCTTCGACGTGCATTCGATAAAGTCAACCAGTCTCTCCTCCTAAATAGATTACATCAATATGGTTGCTCCCCGAATGTAATTAAATGGTTTGAATCATACCTGAAAAATCCCCAACAATTTGTCTAATTAGGGAAAGAAAAATCAACATTTAGAAATATAACAATGGGAGTTCCACAAGGGTCCATCTTGGCCCCGCTCCTTTTTACTCTATTTATTAATGACTTCCGATGTTCCATCTCAAATGGCATTGTTTATATGTATGCAGATGTTACAACTATTTCTGTATGTGGTAAAACTAAGCAAGAGGTAGAACTCAAACTTACAAAAGCTCTTGGTGAACTGAATTCTTGGCTGAATAAAAATAAATTGATTTTGAATAGTGATCAGACCAAATCGATGCTGCTAGGATCAAAGCATAAGCCTAGATCATTAGATAACAGTATGATGTCGATTGAATTAAATGGATGCCAGTTGGAATGTGTATATGCATATAAATGTTTGGGAGTTATAATTGTACTGCTGTACTGTTTGGTCGGGGAGATTTGAAGCAACTCATAGTAAACTGGAGAGATTACATAAGAGGGCAGCATATATGATTTCTCGTTGTTCCTGGGAACCCCCATCTGAACAAATTTTTGAAATTCTATCCTGGCAGAAAATAGATCTGTTTTTTTTTTAGAGCATCTTGTTGTATGATTCACTAATGTTTACATAAAGCTGCACCTGAAGTACTCGGTGATAAATTTATTTATATCGAAGCGATATCATCTCGAACAACGAGGAGCACACATAAGATGTTAATAAGAATGCCACATGCTCGTACGACCTTTTATCAGAAGTCATTTCTTGTCACAGGTCCATCAAACTGGAATAAATTACCCGAATGTGTTCGATTTATAGAAAATATGAAACCATTTAAACGTGAAATGGCAAAATGGCAAAAGACGTCCTCGTTGTAATATGATCATGTTGTAATATGACTCTTTTTTTCTCTCATCTTTGTATAGGCCTATATTTTATTATATATTCATCTTGATTTCTCCTGTTGGTTTGTTATTGTTGTTGTTGCTGTTGATTTTTTTTTTTTTTTTTTTTTTTTTTTACTGTTTGCTTCAATTTGGATATATGGCATTTACATATTTGTATCATATACATATTACTCATTTCGTTATTACTCATTTCGTTAAAACCAGTATTTATTTGCTGATTGGGCTACCCTTCTTTTTAAAGATGTGTAATAAATAAATAAATAAAAAAATGTAGGGAATATGGTATACTTGTGGATAATCTATAAAGACACAAATCAATACAAAAACGTACGTCAGTAGTAGTAGTAGTAGCAGTAATAGCAGCAGCAGTAATATCACTGTTATCACATCGTTATTAATAGTAGAAGTAGTAGTAGTAGTAGTAGTAGTAGTAATAGCAGTGGTATTACTATTATTACAATGATAACTATTATTTATATTATTGTTATTATTATTATTATTAGTATTGAATTTGTCATTGTATGTAGATTTAAGTTTAAGTCTGGCCTGTAACTACATGGCTTCCTCTTTTTCATCATGTAGCAGTAGCCTACCTGAAAGAATACAGTGATACATCATATACATCAAAGGTATGAGGGAGTCGCAGAAGTTTACCAGTATTCCTAAACAATCAAATTCCTATGGTTGAGCAATAATTGCAGTGTCTTGTCCCCTCTTTTGACTACAGATTGTGGCGAAAATCCTTGTCGAAACGGCTGGTGTGAGGAGACTATGAGAAACTTCAAATGCCACTGCTCTGCCGGATATCGAGGAAAACGTTGCGATGAACGTAAGAATACAAAACAATCCTAATAATTATTTGACAAGTCGGTTAGGGAATTAAAATATACAACTTAATTTTTTCTAGTAACCTGAATTCGAGCAAAATTATAAACTTTGTAAAAAGCAACCGAACGGTGTACAGTATAACCAACCGATTGTACGAACATGATACATTAGTGAAACCTATTTCAGACAGGTATGGAAATATATTTTATTTGAAATTTAAAAAAATCATGAATATTCATCAATTATGCAAATTAGGTCATATAAGCTAAATATATATTCGCGCACTCATTATGCAAATTAGGAAAGTCAAACTGTTCATTTTTGGGGCATTTTTTAAATCATATATTCATAGATCATATTTACACCAAATATTAACCTTAAAATCCAAATATTTTTACAATGCCGATAAAATATGGCGATCGAAATTACTTGGATCACCGTCACAGCTAGTTTCTCATGTGTTTCACAAATTATTCAGAAAAACCGATCATATGATAAGAATTGTACAGTTGTGGGTACCTTGAGTGTAAATATCAAATTGATTTAATGAGTGAAAGACTTGAGGATATTGCATTTTTGTAGGGGTGTTTTATACATTGAGGTGCATTTTTACCACGCAGAATAGCAGTGCGAGTCAATGGAGATCAGCGGGCCATGTCACACATGGCTGAAAAGACAATATTCTAATTAAATAATTTAACATATATCCCACATGCCTATAACTATGAAACTACACAGAATTGTAGTTAAAGGTATGCTTAAAATATATGTGAAATAATAATTAAAAAATATTGTTTAGTTTTTTGTAATAAATTTACAAAAAATGCTATTTCCACCAACTGACTGCTGTTGTGTGTGTGTGTGTGTGTTCGCGGGACAGACTGTGTGCACAGGCAGTGTGATCACCCTACTTTCAGTCAAGTATTTCATTGTATTATGTAGTTTGGTAGGTTTATTTTACTAACTGTTTAATTTTCAGATATCAATGATAGTTTAAAGATATGGAAAAGATTCTTGTATTTTATATTTAACAAAGCAATCTCACATTCAAAATCACTATCAAGTGCTATATACGCGAACTAGCTACGTTTGTGCTGGCGAAAATGAGACAACCGGAGCAATATGTAACATTGAAAGGGGTACTTCTTACAAAGGAACAAGGGCACTTGTCAAAGTAAAAGGGGCACCTCTCAGATTGGAATAGGGCAATTATCAGAGTTGAAAAAGGGCACTTATATGAATGGAAAATGGACACTTATCGCAAAGGAAAGTAGGAATTTGTCAAAGGAATAGGGGTACGTGTCAAAATAAAAGGACGCTCATCAGAGTCGAAAGGGGAAAGGGGCTTTTTTACTAGGTAATATGGGCACTTGTCAAAGTGAAAAGGACACTTTTCTACGTAAAAATGGGCCTTTTTGCAAAGATAAAGAGGCACTTTTTCTATGTAAAAACATGCAATTTTGGGGCACTTGAAAAAGTGAACCCCCCCCCCGAGAGCGCCGCCTCTGCCTCACTTTCTCGAAGTTCTTCTCCTCTATTTGAGTTATATCTTTGTAGAGAACTGATGTAGTTAAATGGGGGTTATTAACGTGCCCCTTCCCTGTCATGTTCTATAGACATATTTCGATTTACATTCACCTAAAATGTAATTAAATTGTAATAATATAGTAGGGAAAATTAAGGAGTCGATCAGATCACTTTTTCCCAATTTGTATCATTAATAATGGTCTGTTTTCACTCAAATTTTCAGATTATCTTTATTTGTACATCTAGCATTGAAGTCACTACCTTAGCTCCACTTTCTCTCATCTGAACAATGTTACAAAGTTCCTTTAAGTCCGGGAGATTGTTTCTATCACATAGTTAGGCAAACAGTTTAAATCTAAATAATGTATAATCATCATTTCCACTTAATCTACTATCGTACACAAATAATATGACTCGATTTATATTAATAGCAACCCCCCCCCCTAGAATTAAAAAAAAGGACATAAAATACCCCTAAAAATGAATCTTTCACTGAACTGCAAGCCTGCCCAAATGAAACCATTATTTCCCAGCATTGGTAACAAATAGAAACGAGATTAAAATGAAAGAACTCCATGGCGACCAGAAGTGAATTGAATCATGCACGACATACATATATTATCCATTCAGTGAGCCATGGCATGAACACCTGTATTAGTATAATTGTTGTAAACCGAATTAATTCTACTATGATTAGGATAAGTAGGCGATCATACACTGATTAATGCAGTGTTAAAAAAGCGCATGCAAATAATAATGTAGGCACAGTGATGTGGATCAATTTTTCACAAACAATTTCCGCCATTCTAGGCCAGTGTGCAATGCTAAAATGTAACAACAACAAAAGATTTAAAAAGTAGAAAAGCATTGGTAACAAATAGGAACGAGATTAAATAGAAAGAACTCCATGGCGACCAGAAGTGCATTGAATCATGCACGACATACATATATTATCCATTCAGTGAGCCATGGCATGAACACCTGTATTAGTATAATTGTTGTAAACCGAATTAATTCTACTATGATTAGGATAAGTAGTCGATCATACACTGATGAATGCAGTGTTGAAAAGGCGAATGCAAATAATAATGTAGGCACAGTGATGTGGATCAATTATTCACAAACAATTTCCGCCATTCTGGGCCAGTGTGCAATGCTAAAATGTAACAACAACAAAAGATTTAAAAAGTAGAAAAGCATTGGTAATAAATAGAAGCGAGATGAGAAAGAATAAACGCTATGGCGACCAGAAGTGCAATGAATAGTGCACCACAATACACATATTATATTTATCAATATAAAAAAATTCAGTAAGCCATGGCAAGAACACCTTTATTAGTATAATTGTTGAAAACCGAATTTAATTTTATTATGCTTAGGATAAGTAGGTGATCATTAACTGATGTGTTCAGTGTTTGAAAAAGCGCAAGCAAATGATAATGTAGGCACAGTGATGTGAATCAATTATTCACAAACCATTTCCGCCATTCGAGGCCAGTGTGCAATGCTAAAATGCAACAGCAACAAAGATTTTAAAAAGTAGAAAGAAAGTGGCCTCCATAGTTGACGATGTCACTTTATCTATCATTAAATAAAACGAACGTGACAATGATGAAGCTCGTTTCAAGTGCAAGCTAATACTTACATCAGATATCACATTTTTCATTATGAGTATACATGCAATTTACCTGAGAAAAAAAGAAAGAAAGAAGAAAATGGCTTCCCATAAGAAGACCAGGAGAAGAAGAAGAAGACCAATAGTATTAAAAAAGAGAAAAGGTTGCATGAAATTAGACAAGATAATGAATGATATATAATCCTAGATCATAGCGGACGGTGGAAACAGGGAGGAAGTCACTTCTAAAAACGAAATCAGTACGGCGTAGAAAATACTCTTATCTTTGATGTATGTATGTATTTATGTGTGTATGTATTATTCGGAGGTGGGGAGGGCGGGGGGGGGGGGGTGACACAGCAGCCATCTCTTTTTGTCAACATTTGACGAAATTATTTAGGGAAAAAAAAATACTTATTTATTGTATCATATGTACAAGTTTCTTACTATTGAAGTAAGTAAATTGGACAAAACAAATATGAAAATTATCAAATATTCTTTTTAGGCTAGTGACTGGTGATTCATAACTCAAAATAAACTACTTGACAAGCAATAGGTCTATCTAGTACGAATTGGTTTTTCAAAGCCACCCATTTTTCCTCTTCCCATGCTGCGTCACTTTCCCTACTCTCAATTTCTTTAATTTGAATATCCAAGGGAGTGACTTGGAAATGGGGATGCAATACACGTATCTCGCTCTTGTCTGTTTATGGCATTCCCAAAAATATATAGGCCTATTTGAAATCGTTAGCTCTAAACTATTTACACAGTTTTACTGTCTAGATTGATCCGTCAAAAAACATCGCCCGAATGTTAGCTGAAACGTAAACGAAATGCAGATCACCAGTGAGTCACTCAACAATCGGATAAAGCTACGCCCATTTATTTTATTGGTATCTCTATTACGAGCATTCACTAACACAGACTTGGTATAATTCAACACCTGTACATTCATTGGCTAATATCATTTATGCCACTGATGTCATGCTTCTTACTGCGCATGTATGGATTATGTTTTTGCTTATTGTTGCTAAGGCTCAATATATTAATCTCTTCTTAATTCTGGAATGATATTTCGGTAGGGAATATCATTACCTAGTAATTGGTTTGTGGTGATGTAGCTTCTCGTCTGCCTAGTTCAAGAGAGAGAGAGTGAAATCCATCAAGCGTACCCCGACAGTTAATGATGTATCACTTATTCATTATCGATTTCAAAATATTTAGCCAGGGTGGCCCATTCAGCGATTAGCTGGTCTTCCGAGGAAGCCCTGGGGAAAATGGTGACAAAATCATACATGTAAAAATATGAAAAAAGTACTCATAGAAGTGTACAATTGAATCTGATATATAGTATAAATAAACATAGATTTAAAACAATAATACAAATGGCAACAGATTTGTGTGTTTCAACTCTTTCCGGACAGATTTAGATTTGATTTCGCTTTGTGTTTTGTTACATGGAATTCATCGGAAGTATCGTGATAATGTTGAACAGATTCTGAGGAAAACTGCACGAAATTTCCGGCTATGTCTTCCTTGACTAATTCCTAGTGTTTCCCCCTCATAATCACAACATTAGCTTTATGCCTTAACTCGTGTGGCATCGACTATTAGTTTCGAAACGGCAGTTGAGTTATTTGTGATTCATCTCTCTGCAGTTAAAGCAGCCTTTGTATCATATGTCAAGCTTTTATACCATGCAGTGTTTCCTTTCGTCATAATAAATTTTCTTAGCTAGGACATCAGATTTCATTGGTTTGATGGAATTTCCTTACATTTCTCAAAATTCATCTAACGTTCCATTTATGTTGTTTGCAAGGCCGAGGCTGACGTCATATGTCTTTTGTTGCACCATAAAATCAACTAAATTTCCAGTTTTGCGAGAAAAAAATGAAAACACTGATAACATGGTTCGCTAAACACTCGATTGTCAAAGCGGTCGGGGTGGGCACGGGGGAATGTATCAAGTGTTCCTCGCGTTGATTGGTTACTTGAGATGGGCGTGTCTCACTACGCAGACCTTCCTGATCAGAGTGTCTGTTTGCTGCGAAATTCGAGGCATATTGGATATTAACCCCGTGAAAGTTGGCGTTAATTTCCGAGTGTTTCAGTAGACGTGTTCATCATTTCCCATTTCGCTGTCTAAATCATAATTAGGCAAATTTGTATTGCGAACATAAATATCATTTCGAAAAATAAATATACAGACTATCTGTAATACTGGAACTTTTATTCACGATTTTACTTCCTTTTGAGGAGTTCGGGAATACGGACTACATTGCAAGAAAAACTTTACAGAAACTATAATGACAGTGTCATATTTGAGTTATAAAGACAACACAGCAAGGAAGATGAGCAAAGTCTTTCGACAACCTTAACTGTAGTATTCTTGGATGCTTGCTTCACGTTTACAATACATGTTGTCTTCTGAGAGTTAACTTTATTTGAGATGTGCGCAAGAACAAAATACAATCAATCAACTGTTGCTCGACTTGATTTCATCGAATAATTGAGATTTGTTTTCCATCGGTCAAAATGGTGAGTCCTCGCCTTTATTTATTTAATTACAAACATGTGCATATATATATATATATATATATATATATATATATATATATGTATGTATTTATGTATGTTGTATATATATCAGTGGTGGGTCTAGGTGGGGGCCGAATCGGCCAGCCCATCCCCCCCCCTCCACTGGGAGAGAGAGAGAGAGAGCAACGAGAAAGAATCGCTACCCTGAATACGAAATAAGAACCAGGGAGGATGTTGTCGTTAGTAGAACAATACAAAAAACAGTTTTATTTTAATAAAAAAATTAGAGATGAAATGATAGGGGCTGTGTAAATATCGAGGAGAAAATCACTACTGCTATCGCTCGTGACGTGACGACTATCTCAAAGATTCTGAAGTCCTAACACTCGAGAGCGTCCGGGGGCTCCGTCCTTTGTTCCTCCGGCAGGGGAACTCCCCCTGCACCCCATCCGCAAAGATAAAAGTGATTCCCCAGACAACCCTTTGTTGTAAATTTGTCCATATTAGAGAGTGAATGTCTTTCTGTCGCTCAAGACGGCCATTTTGAAGGTTCAGAAATGCTAAAACTCGAGAACGCCTGGGGCTCTGCACCACAACTGGAGCCTTAGGGCGGGCCCTTGGTCCCGACCCCATCCAGAAAGGCTAGCGCTAACGTGCAAACGTTGGTTCCTCCCCCCTCCGAAATCCTAGATCCGCCGCTGCATATTAAATCGTAGATATAAGTTGTTGTTGTTGGTAGTAGTTTTATGGCGTTCATTCATAACTGGATATATACGCGATATCTTCAGTTATATAAGAAAATTGAGTTATCAGTAAAGAACACTGGAAATAACAAATTGTAATTGTAATAAATTAATCAGTATCGCAATTTATTAGGAGTTTCTAGATGGTTTACAACTTCGTATTTCTGCTTTTTTGTCTTCATACGTTTTATCTGGAAGCCCGGTTTCGATTGCATAGAAATCTAGCTTTGCATATTGGGTTTTATCATAGAATTCGATGATAATGATCAATTGTATTGGATAACAAATTTATCAAGATCTGAATTTTATACATTAATATTTCAAAGAAATACAAGGCAAAACTAATGTGAAATATGAATATATTTTTGTTTAAAGGACGTGGGGAATCAACATTTCCCATTTCTTAGAAGTTTCAATTTTGTTGTGTCTACCTAATATTGATGACCACATGTGGCATGTTTTGTATTAAAAACAATATAAACATTCGCAAAGCGTTCTTTTTTAAACTAATTTCGTTATCCCCATCCTTATCTTTAAGTCAATCCAATAGTTTCAGGGTTTCATCTTCATCTTTCTACTCGTCTTTAATTGGTAGTCAACATTGTCTTACTATAGATAGTCATTGTAACGAGTATTTAACTGTTAAGTCCGGGGTGCCACAAGGGTCAATTCTGGGCCCATTGATTTGTGTTTGTACATTAATGATATTAATAATTAAACATTTAATAATAATTCCAAAATATCACTTTATGCTGACGATACTGTCATTTTTAATAATTCTAATGATTTTTCTAAAGTTCAAGAAAATTTACATAATGACTTTGATTTAATATTTAAATGGTTTGGTAAAGATGTATATACACCCTCAAAAAAATATGGTTATGTCCTTTGGATCAAAAAGAAAGTTGAAGAACAATCGTCTCTCAATTAAATCAATTGGATAAAAACTTACAGTGTGTCGAAACAATGAAATACTAGTTATACTTGACTCACAACTTGCATGGTCTGAACATATAAAATATATAAGTACTAAGATATCTCGTTCTATAGAATGTATTCGTCGTATAAAACGCCAAATACCCCATGAAACTCTTGTAAACCTCTATTTTGCATTAATTTTACCACATATCGACTATTGTTGTACTGCTTGGGGAAACTGCTTAAAGACAAATTTATCGAAGCTGCAAAAGTTACAAAAAAGATTTGCGAGATTGATTTTAAATAAGGAGTACGACACACCACAATGTACGCTTCTTACGACTTTAAACTGGCAATCGGTCGAACAAAGATTAAAATATCACTACTGTTTGTTAGCTTTTAAAATTATAAATGTCATAGCCCCAACTTATTTAAAATCACTTATCAATTATCGCATCTCAACTACTGTACCCGCTATTCATTGAATTCTCTTCTTGACATCCCATACCCGAAAACCGAATTCAAAAAAGATAATTCTCGTATAAAGCAAGCACCCTATTTAATAAACTTCCTCCCTCAATTCAATCAACCAAATCAATTCAAATATTTAAGCGCGGATGCCAATTGGCAAAGCATTTATTATAGTAGAATCTCCGTTCTTATTTCCCTCTACCGGTATAAGCAGTTTTCTTATGTTATTATGTATGTACTCTATATTATGTCAAACATGTAAATGTTCAGTTTTTATGAATGTTATATTGTTATGTATTCCTTGTATTTTGTATATCACAAACTTGTTATGTCGTTCTAGAGAGCGTACTTGGAAAGCAGTTCTGTTAAAGTGAATGTATACCCACCCTCTATTTCAAATAAAACTTGAATAAATAAATAAATACAAATAAATACATCACTTTTCGTAAGAGTGAGAAAACGGTTTTACTTTAACAGTGCTAAATCCCTTCATTTTTTTTTCTTTTTGACTATACAATAGATGCAGAGACATAAATCCGCTGTTACCCTGAGAGACACGTTCCTACTTCTCTGCACTTCATTCGTCATTGGTGAGAGTTAGAATGAATTTCGTCTTTTTTAAAATTAATTAGGAGCATACTCGCGGGCTAGATCAGTTACCTTGGGGGCAAAAGTCCAATTTGAGGGTTTTGAGACATTTGATATTGTTTTCAATATGTTGAAAAAATATTCTGCTGAAAAACAGTTGTACCATATTTCAAAAAAGCCGCTATGCATGTATATGTAATATTGAACAGTTTGAAGATTACCTTTTAACATAACCACAATTTTACCCGGTTTGAAAGAGAATTTCTCTACAAAATGATACTACATTTGTTAGGCTTGATTATAGTTTGAATAACAATGGAGAGCCAAAAATGTGATTTCCCCCAAATTTTCACCATAATATGAATGCATGTTTCTCTACGTTTCATGAATTATCTTCAATAATTTCTTTTTAGAAAACTGCCTAAACATATGTTCAATATGATATCAAAATTATCTTTTAAATGTTATAGCGCTCTAAACTTAGTATGCTGATATCAGTTAACATGGCATTTATGGGTAAAAATACGTCAACCCCTAAAGTATTGCAACAACAGGTTTACCAAAGGTTTCCGGTAACGTTTGAAATCTGGAACAACATACTAAAATTTTAAGAAACATACCTAGGTATCGGGGGTCGAAGAATCCATCATACCACATACAATGTGTTATGGCCACCAAAATATCTGTAAATTCAACATGGCATCCAAAATGGCCACCATTCTCCTAAAGATGACCGGAAGTGAGTTAAAGTTGGCAGTAAAACTGTCATTTGCAAGATTAAATGTATGTTTAAGAGGTCAGGATACTCTAGTGTGCTTTAAATGATCATAAAAGGTTTAATTCCACTTGCTATAGCCTTATACTCAAAACAATTTCAAAGATGGCATCCGTTTTGTAATCCGAGATGGCCGACGAAAACTGAAATTAGCCATAAATCGTGACATATCCATATAAGAGATTGTTGTATCTATACCTAGGTTTCGGGGTCGACAAATCAATTTTGACTGTTTAAAATGTGTAGTAGCCGCCAGAAAACCCGGTAACTCATGATGGCGTCCACAATTTATTGTAGCGAGTATCGTAACATAACCGGATTCAGTTTACTATTTACAAGACAGTTTTCAAGTGCAAAGTACATTTTAAGTGTAAAAATATTCATTGATGCACGAAAAAGTATGTTATAGCCTTTTATAGAGCAATGTATCCAAGACGGCTGTGCTGCCATTGTGCAATTCAAAGTTGTTGCCAACGCATTTTTATTTGCTATCCATTAGGTATCCCATCAATAAATATAATGTTAGTGTCTTTTCATTGGTTTCGGGATTTAAAACTCTATTAAAACAAGATCAAGTTGATATGTGTCAAGAATGATGGGCAGGAAAGCTGGAAAAATGTTTAAGAACGGCTGACAAATTTAAATGATTGAAAGTGAGTAACATTTTTATTTTACCAAATAATGAGGATAATTATATTTGTTAGGTGTAAGTGTATTTTAGCGTTAAAGGTGTACATTGTAGGTTTTGTTAAGATATTCAATACTGTTTTCAAATGTGCAGTCCATCTTGGAGGGCAGAATGGGGGAAAAATGTATATCACATTTCATCTAAGGCTAGAATGTCGACCTCAGTGACACATAATGTCTTGCATTCATGCCAGCAGCCAAATTATAGAGCACAGTAGCAACCATATTTAAAACATTACTGTCTCGCGTAAAACTATGTGATTCTTTTTGTATATCAATGAAAATCCATAACTCGAAAATACATTTTGTTTAATCTTCACAACGTCTTACTGTTCAAAAGAGAATCAAAATCTGGTTATGTAAATTATTTATTTGCTAAATTGGAAATGCACCATCATGGATTTCCAGGTTTTTTGGTGGCCATACCACTCTTGAACGTCATTTTGAAAATAACCACTTTCCGGGGGTCCGATTTTCTTAGAGTTTGTGCCTGCTTTCAAGAACTACCGGAAACCGTTGAGAAACCTGTTGTTCATCCTAACACCGTTTACCACATAATATCACCCATAGCAACCATCACATCCAGATGCCACTCTGACAAAATGACGTCTCCTACAAATTATCATTATTTACTTCACCCTTAAAAACTTCATATTAAAAAACATGCTAGTGTGCGGACCTTGGAAGGCTCCTGGGCTAGAATAAGGACTTTTAGATTTGCACGTCGACATAGTTGACTGCTACGTGATGACGTCATTTTAAGGCACCGCGCATGCGTCACGTCGTCTCCGTCGTCGACTATCAGAATCGAGAACGCGTCCACTTTGATTTTCCCGTCGTCCTAAATCTACAGCGCCGTGCACTTGTTTTCACATAGTCGTGACGTCATTTCAAGCCTCAAGATGAATGATAAAAAATTCAGAGATATAATTTTGTCTTTGAGTAACAACAGCTTTCACGAAACTGAGGTAGATATAGGTAGATTAAAATTCTTTTGTCTTGAAATGTGAAAGTTTGATTGGTATGTTATAGCACCCTTAGAAAGGTTTATAGCTAGTGGCAATGGCAGTGTGCATAAGCTTCGTCTCCGCACCGTGTACCGCCCAGCCGGCTGGTGACGTGACAGTACGCGCGGAATTTCCTTTGAAATTTGGCGCGCCGTTCATGACTTCATCATGCTGACTTCCTGTCGACGTATATCCTCGAGTAAAATCTAAAAGATCATATCTGTAGTCAACAGGGGCAGTTGACTACGCTGACACGCATGATCAGTGGACGTTCACGCCGTTTCCGTCCACTCAATCTAAAAGTCCCTAACGACTCCTCCTATACACCGCACCCATATTTCGCATCCCCTCTTTTCATATTCAATTAAACACCTTCGACTCAACGCATGCCAGATAGCAATTAGTGTTCCCACGTATTGCCGTATAAACAACATTTGCCAGCTATACGATGTAACGCTGGCAAATACATGTTGCAATTGTTTTTGGTCAAACTCTATTCTGACCCCACTAAGTATTGTATCTCATATCTTGTTTGGTTTAAGTCTTTAATTTAGGTGATCGTGGTAGTAAAGAAAGGTAGGGAGGTAGAATCATGATTGTTTGAGAGATGGTTCCCTTACTAGGGAGCCGGAACGTACCTGTCAAAAACAAAACTACATGTTATGTCGTAATTCGAATGAAGACACGACAGGTAGTTAAATGTTTTTTGACCGGTTCCTGATCCACCCTCTTTCTGCTTCCCCATGTTTGGCCAAACTGATGACATGTGTCCCCATCATATGGTGGCCCTGAAGGGACATCGCAAATAGACTAAATCGTGAAAAATATGCGATAAAATTCACGATATCGTCAATTTTATCGCATATTTTTCACGAAGAAATTCACGAAATTGACGATATCGTGAACTTTATCGTGAACTTTTCACGATATAAAGTTCACGATATCGTCAATTTTATCGTGTACTCTATCGTGTACTCTATCGTGTACTCTCCTGACGGGCGCTTCGTAAACAAAACCAGCCCTAGCTGGGGGAGACAGAGAGAAGGAAAAAAAGGGAAAGGGAAAGAGAAGATAAAAGGAAAGAAAGAATAATAAGAAGAAAAGAGGGAAACGGGGGGGGGCGAAGGGCTCTTGCCTCCTCCTCACTCCCCCCCCCCCCCGCCAAAAAATAAATAAGGAGAGAGAGAAGGGAAAGGGAAAGGGAAAGAAAATATAAAAGGAAAGAAAGAAGAGGAAGAAGGAAAGAGGGAAACGGGGGAAGGGCTCTTGCCCCCTCCCTTCCCCCCCGCCAAAAATAAATAAGAGAGAAAAGGGAAAGGGAAAGAAAATATAAAAGGAAAGAAAGAAGAGGAATAAGAAGGAAAGAGGGAAACGGGGGAAGGGCGAAGGGCTCTTGCCTCCTCCCTCCCCACCCCCCGCCAAAAAAAATAAATAAGAGATAGAGAGAGAAGGGAAAGGGAAAGGGAAAGAGAAGATAAAAGGAAAGAAAGAAGAGGAAGAAGAAGAAGAAAAGAGGGAAACGGGGGCGAAGGGCTCTTGCATCCCCCCCGCCCAAAAAATAAATAAGAGAGAGAGAGAGAGAGAGAGAGAAGGGAAAGGGAAAGAGAATAAAAAAGGAAAGGAAGAAGAATAAGAAGAAAAGAGGGGCTCTTGCCTCCTCCCCCCCCCCTCCCGCGCCAACAAATAAATAGGAGAGAGAGAGAGAGAGAGATAGAGAGAAGGGAAAGGGAAAGGGAAAGGGAAAGAAAATATAAAAGGAAAGAAAGAAGAGGAATAAGAAGGAAAGAGGGAAACAGGGGAAGGGCGAAGGGCTCTTGCCTCCTCCCTCCCCACCCCCCGCCAAAAAAAATAAATAAGAGATAGAGAGAGAAGGGAAAGGGAAAGGGAAAGAGAATAAAAAAGGAAAGGAAGAAGAATAAGAAGAAAAGAGGGGCTCTTGCCTCCTCCCCCCCTCCCGCGCCAACAAATAAATAGGAGAGAGAGAGAGAGAGAGAGAGATAGAGAGAAGGGAAAGGGAAAGGGAAAGAAAATATAAAAGGAAAGAAAGAAGAAGAAGACGGAAAGAGGGAAATGGGGGAAGGGCGAAAGGCTCTTACCTCCCCCTCACCCCTCCCGCCATAAAGGGAAGAGAAGGGAGAGGGAAAGAAAATATAAAAGGAAAGAAAGAAGAGGAAAAAGAATAAGAAAAGAGGGAAACAGGGGCGAAGGGCTCTTGCCTCCTTTCTTTTCTTTCTTTTCCTTTCTTTCCTAGATCTCCTTCTTTTTCGTTTTTCTCTTTCATTCTTCTCTTTCCCTTTCCTTCTCTCTCTCTCTTATTTATTTTTTGGCGGGGGGCGGGGGGACGAGGCAAAAGCCCTTTGCCCCCGTTTCCCTCTTTTCTTCTTCTTCCTCTTCTTTCTTTCCTTTTATCTTCTCTTTCCCTTTCCCTTTCCCTTCTCTCTCTCTCTCTCTCTGATTTATTTTTTGGCGGGGGGGGGGGGGGAGGGGGGGCAAGAGTCCTTCGCCCTTCCCCCGTTTTCCTCTTTTCTTCTTCTTCCTCTTCTTTCTTTCCTTTTATCTTCTCTTTCCCTTTCCCTTTCCCTTCTCTCTCTCTCTCTCTCTGATTTATTTTTTGGCGGGGAGGGGGGGGGGGGGAGTGAGGAGGAGGCAAGAGCCCTTCGCCCCCCCCCGTTTCCCTCTTTTCTTTTTATTATTCTTTCTTTCCTTTTATCTTCTCTTTCCCTTTCCCTTTTTTCCTTATCTCTGTCTCCCCTAGCTAGGGCTGGTTTTGTTTACGAAGCGCCCGTCAGGAGAGTACACGATAGAGTACACGATAGAGTACACGATAAAATTGACGATATCGTGAACTTTATATCGTGAACTTTTCACGATAAAATTCACGATATCGTCAATTTCATCGTGAAAAGTTCACGATAAAGTTCACGATATCGTCAATTTCGTGAATTTCTTCGTGAAAAATATGCGATAAAATTGACGATATCGTGAATTTTATCGCATATTTTTCACGATTTAGTCTATTCGCGATGTCCCTTCAGGGCCACCATACCATCACTTCTTCGCTACCCCTCCCGGACCAGTGACAAAAGACGAGTTTGAATAGGGGGTGGCGGCACGGGGGAACTTCCGTAACAAATGCAAAAATGTGGAGTGTGGAGGGGAGAAGAATGAGAGTGTGTGTGTGTGTGTGAGAGAGAGAGAGAGGGGGGAGAGAGAGGGAGAGAGAGGGGAGAGAAAGAGAGAGTGAGTGAGTGAGAAAAAGAGAGAAAGAGCAGAAGATGCGTATTCTAGTGGTCTGCGAACATAATTATTCAGGTTGAACTCCGTTGAACGAAAGTAATGAGATTACATTTTTGTATTTGATTCTTTGTTGTTTCCTTGCGATCTTGTTTTTTGTGTGTATACATGTCAACTTTACATTTTGTGTATTTAATTACTTATTGATATTCTGTATATGTGTACGTGTTTCAGCTCACGCGCGGGGGTCTACAAACATGGCCGATGAAGTGTTGCATACGGAGGATAATCATTGCCAGCCGATTCTTGTCAATGGTAAATTGATGCCTATAGTGCCAGAATACATGCCCTCGTTTCCCGTCGCCTTGAAGGGTATTAGACACCATTTCGTTTGCAAGTTAGCTGGTGAGTTTTAGGTTTATAGTGATGATCGTATGATATGTCAGTCCAACTTGTAGATTGATTTTAACTCATCGAAGGGTAGGCATTGGAAAATTATGATTCTTGAACAATAATGATAACTATACAATTTAGAACCTATCAACTACTAACATGTATGCATGCGTTAGAAAATTGAGATCTTTCTGAGATCATAGAGGAGTCAATGTCGAAATATTTTCAGACTTAGAAATATGCAATAGTATATAAAGGATAGGTGTTAAGAATCATGATCTTTTCACACATGCCCTCTAAGGAAGTGAGTGATTTTAGTGCAAATGGAAATTGTCAAAGATTTTCCAAGGTATTGCCGCCGAAAGCATGGAAGGCCCATTAATATAAGTATGTACGAGTACGTTTAAGCACCCCCCCCCCCCACCTTCCTTCGTTCCTCGCTTACCACCATCTCCATCCCCATATCATATTGCTTTAAGAATCAACTACTACACAACATACCACAACGAAGTACACAACGGAATCCACCACGTCACATCCTACCACTACTACTCGTAAGAAAACTTCATTTACACTATGTCTCTCTCTCTCTTTCTCTCTAGGAATTAAATAGCATGTGATGATTTATCCAGTGAGATTTGTAAATTTGTTGTAAATATGGTTTTTAATTTATTTGCTCCCAGGGTGTTTCATCAGGTGTATATATCATAATATTTCTTCTTCAGAATCAACTTCTACACAAGACACAACAGCGATGTCTTCGACGGAAGCCACCACCACACACCCTACTACAACGCCTCGTAAGGAAACTTCATTTACACCACCTCCCCCCCCCCACCTCTCTCTCTTTCTCTTTCCGTCTCTCTCTCTCTCTCTCTCTCTCTAATCTCTCCCTCTCTCCCCCTCTCTCTCTCCCTCTCTCTCTCTCTCTCATCTCTCTCCCTCCCTCTCTTTCTCTCTCCCTCTCTCTTTCTCTCTCCTCTCTTCTCTCTCCTCTCTCCTCTCCTTCTCTCCCTCCCTCTCTTGGCGCATTTATACTGCCAAATACCTCATTTCCTAAAATTGCGATGTTTCGCGCACACGTTTACACTTGTGCTGAAACATCACCGACTGAAAAGCTCAGTGGTGTTTTTGCGTGTTTCAGATGGTAATGCGCATGCGCGGCACTCCCATGCAAAAACTGTTATTATTCTTATTATATTCTTTATCTTTTTTTTCTCTGTCTTTCCATATGTTATTCTTTGTTTCTTCCTTCTTTTACCTTCTTTTATGTTATTCTTTGTTTTTTTCTTTTTATCACCTTCTCTTATGTTATTCTTTGTTTTTAAAATTATATCACTTTCTCTTTCTGTCTTTCCTTAAGTTATTCTTTGTTTCTTCCTTCTATCACCTTCTGTTATGTTATTCTTTGTTTTTTATCATTCTATCACTTTCTATAATGTTATTCTTTCTTTCTTCCTTCTTTTACTTTCTTTTATGTTATTCTTTGTTTTTAATTTTCTTTGTTTTTACTTTCTATCACCTTCTCTTATGTTATTCTTTGTTTTTATCCATTTTATCACTTTCGCTTTCTGTCTTTGCTTATGTTATTCTTTATTTCTTTCGTCTATCACTTATTCTTTTTGTCTTTACTTATGTTATTCTTTATTTCTTCCGTCTATCACTTTCTCTTTTTGTCTTTCCTTATTCTTGATATCAAGAATTCGATTACTTGATATCAAGAATTCATTTCTTGATATCTAAACTTCATTTCTTGATATCAAGAATTCGAATTCTTGATATCAATAATTCATTTCTTGATATCATGAATTCATTTCTTGATATCAAGAATTCATTTCTTGATATCAAGAATTCGAATTCTTGATATCAAGAAATGATTTTACGTTGTAAAGCAATGGTAATTCTTAATATCAAGAATAGAATTCTTGATATCAAGAATTCGATTTCTTGATATCAAGAATTCATTTCTTGATATCAAGAAATATGTTTAAATGATAAAACGGCTTGCCATACGAGCGTTTATACTTGCCAAACACGCCAAAACATGCCAAAAGATCACACTTTGTTTTGGAATGTTTCGGGCTTGGCATTTCTGCCGGTAAAGCGTAGTTGCCCTTGGTAACATCGCGGTCAGGCTCCGGTTTGGCATTTTTTTGGCGTGTTTGGAATACAGTGTAGATGCAGCACCCTCTCTCCCTCTTTCTTTCGTTCTCTCCAACCACGCTCACCCTTTTTTATGCCTCCGCTACAAAGTAGCTTGGGGCTTTTTGTTTTCGTCTGTACGTCCCGTTCTCGTGATCGCGTTATCTCAAGAACGGATTGATGGATTCCCGCCAAACTTGGGTCATGTATGTATCTTGCAGAGCCCACGAACTGATTAGATTTGGGGGTCACAAGGTCGAAGGTCACATGGCTCATTATATATGCAAATATAGCTCGTGATTACATTATCATTAGAACCGATTAACGGATTACCATCAAACTCAAGAAATGTATGTATCTTGCAGAGCCAATGAACTGATTAGATTTTGAGGTCATGAGGTTAAAGTTCAGAGGTCATGGGGCTCATTACGTATGCTAAATAAGCTTGTGATCGTGTTATCTCAAGATTGGATTGATGGATTCACGCCAAACCTGGGTCATTAATGTATTTTGCAGAGCCAATGAACTGATTAGATTTTTTGGGTCTCTTGATCAAAGGTCAAAGGTCACATGGTTCATTATATATGCAAATATAGCTCGTGATTACATTATCATTAGAACCGATTAACGGATTACCATCAAACTCAAGAAAGGTATGTATTTTGCAGAGCCAATGAACTGATTAGATTTTGAGGTCATGAGGTTAAAGTTCAGAGGTCATGGGGCTCATTACGTATGCTAAATAAGCTTGTGATCGTGTTATCTCAAGATTGGATTGATGGATTCGCGCCAAACCTGGGTCATTAATGTATTTTGCAGAGCCAATGAACTGATTAGATTTTTTGGGTCACGAGATCAAAGGTCAAAGGTCACATGGTTCATTATGTATGCTAAAATAGCTTGTGATCGTGTTATCTCAAGATTGGATTGATGGATTCACGCCAAACCTGGGTCATGTATGTATCTTGCAGAGCCAATGAACTGATTAGATTTGGGGTCACAAGGTCAAAGGTAACATGGCTCATTATGTATGCAAAAATAGCTCGTGATTACATTATCTTTATAACCGATTGACGGATTACCATCAAACTCAAGAATTGTATGTATCTTGCAGGGCCAATAAACTGATTAGATTTTGGGGTCATGAGGTTAAAGTTCAAAGGTCATGGGGCTCATTACGTATGCAAAAATAGCTTGTGAACATATCAATAGAACCGACGGACGGATTACTATCAAACTCAAGTCGTGTATGTATCTTGCAGAACCAACGAAATGATTAGATTTGAGGGTCATGAGGTAAAAGATCAAATGGTCATACCTTATATATGCAAAATAGCCTGTAATCACGATATTCTGAGAACCTGTAAATGGATTACAATCAAACTTGAATTTGAAAAATTGCTTATGTTTTGGTTTGTAAACTCGCTCACTGGCGGAGGCATTATTTTTTACTTCGCGCAGTCGAAGATCCATCTAGTTATTACCATTTTCTACATTTCTTCATTCACCCTCACTCTCTGTCTCTGTCTCTGTCTTTTCTTTCTCTCTTGATTTCTATGTTATATGAATTCTCAATTCCCCTTTCTCTCTTCAAATTTCTTTCGTCGTCTCTCCATGCTTCTCTCTTTCGATTTCATGTTCACGTGGATACAATATCCTACAACGTGAAGCATCTTCTTGTTCTAGGCAACCGCTCAGGTGTCAAAAGCTAGGAATTGAATATCATGTGATGATTTTGTCCAGTAAACTTGTCAAATTTGGGTAAATATGAATTCAAATCCATTTCTACCCTCAGATTGTATAATCTGGTGTATATATCATATTTCTTTTTCAGAATCAACTACAACACAAGATACCACAACGATGTCTACGACGGAATCCACCACCTCACACCCTACAACAACTACTCGTAAGAAAACTTCAGTAAATGATTTGTTCCCTGCAACCGCTGAGGCGCTTAAAACCGCTGAGGCGTTTAAATATAATCTGATGATTTGTCCTGTAACATTCTCATTAAATTGCGAGAGTTCTCTATTTTGCCGTTTCTTATTCAATTTTCCAAACCGGCTTAGTGGACTAATTAAAAAGAAGAAGAATGATTCTCATATGAGGTATGAGTTGATAATCGTTGGTAGCTTGGTTATTATCAACACAAATCCCAAACATAGTTTCATAATATATATGCTAAGTATCCAAATTGCACAATCAACATTTAATTATCATGGTATTCATATTATCTTTACAGACTTAAAATTTACTAAGCAAAATATGTATATATATATATATATTTACCTCTGGTAAATATTTTCTTTTGCTAAAGAACTTGATCAGCTACCCACCATTATTCTCTCGTTTTCATTTCTCACAATTACTTATTGCTTCATCTTCTTTTAGTAGAGCCATTTATTGCCCACTATGTCAACGTAACGCTGTACTACTTGCTTTCTAGTCATATCCTCAAAGTACTTTGGGCCCGAAATTTTCACGCTTAAAGGTACAATGTCCCATTTCCAGGCCCAAAAAATGAAAAGGTTAAATTCCAACGGCATTTAAAAGACGATACTAATTTAGAACTCTCCTCAAAATGAAAGGGCTTGAAAATGGCTTGTATTGGGAAAAGAACGACCATTAGTTGTCGAATCGACTTAAGTGATTGCAATCACCTAAGTAATAGTCTGATTTTCAGACCCTTTTACAGAATGGTCGGACGTTTTATGCTGCACAAAAGATTCAATCAGTTTAGTGTTGTCCATTACAAATACAAGTAGTGGGTTATTGATGTAGACAAATGCTCATGTACCTGTTACAGCTCATAATATGTATGTTATTACCAAAGAAAAAAAATGTCAATCAGTCACTCAATAGTGTCTGACAGTGAAGTCTAGAAGGTTAACGGGTATCCTTGCATAATTTGAATTCTAGGACACTGCTAATGTTTACATTTCACAGATAGGACATACATGACATATTCATAATTCCTGCCAAGTTATACAGAATTTCATGTTGGCTGCGAACGGGGCATATAGTATCTTTAAGGAATAAATGTAATAGGTCTCAAACTAGATTATATTCCTTGGAGCGAATAGTAACTTTGTATCACATTGTAATATTCGCTATATACAAGAACAGCATATCATTATTATCTCTATGTACATGCTTCAAGTATATTATAGACAAGCTTCTATAAACGATTTTGTGGCGATAAATTAGTTGTTTACAATTTGAATTACACTTTATTTAAAATTTCTTTTTTTTTCTTGCTTGAGGTTTATCAAATCTGGTTGTAATGAAAAGAAGCGTATATTGCCCCAATATCGAATAATCCTGTGTTTATATCATCTTTCATTATCCAGAAACAACTACTACACAAGACACCACATCGATGTCTACGACGGACTCAACTACCTCACGTCCTACCACAACTACTCGTAAGAAAACTACAATAATAATGATAATAATAATATATTATTTGTATATTGCGCTTAATACAAATGTCTCTAAGCGCTTTACAAATATACTATTACCCCGGTCATTGGATTCAGTGCTTGCCCGCACACAATATGTGCACAATCTCCACTCCCTGGGGAGCATTCCAGCCAGGCGTTACATGACGCTCAAAAACTGTTTGACCAACAATGACGGTCGCATCCTACCGGGTATCCATTTAACACCTGTGTGGAGAGTAGCAAGTGCAGGTTAATATCTTGCCAAAGGATATTAGTGCCGTGTCGGGATTCGAACCCTCGACCTTTGCATCTCCAAGTCAGCGCCTTAAACCACTCGACCACGACACTCCCACTTGACCACGACGCCCCTCTCTCTCTCACTCTCTCTCTCTCTCTCTCTCTCTCTCTCTCAATCTATCTTTCACTCAGTACAAACTTTTTTTTGATATATTTCTTTTTTCCTTACATTCGTTTTTTCTTCTTCCAGCGCTTTCTTTGAAAGAGGCTATCATCTTTTGTTATTTCAAACTGTTTGTAGTTGCTGCTGTTGCTGTTTTGTTTTAATTGTTTTCTTTGTTTTCAGAATATTTCATCACGTTATCCATGAAATGGATAGGCTTTGTTTCTTTAACAAAAGTGAAAGCATGTAAATCTTTTCGACATGTTCCCCACGAATCCAACGATAGGTACAACTCTCCTGTTTTAGTTTTTTTTGTAATGGCATGTTTCTATACTATATACTTTCGGATTACACGTACGCGAAAATCAGTCCAAAGTTTACTGGCATAAACCTAATACAAAAAGCAAATAGATAATAGAATATTCTTTACCCTATTTTTATTTTGTACAAGAATTGTTGTCAAATCACAATTTTAAAGTAGGTATTTCTATACGGCCATCTTTAACAAAATTGTACAAGGAAATAAATATTTCGTCGTCAATTTCGCTAGTCAAATTGTTCGATAATCATAACACTTTGTAGGTAAGTCATAGTCCTAAAACTTAGCCCTATTTAACGAAAACCATGCATAGAAGGAGAAAAGTCACCTTCTGTGGATATATATATATATATATATATCCACATTCTGGAATTACTCACCTCAAAACCTGCATAATACACATTCACAAATTTTACGAACCTCAAAAATCAGTCCATTGTAGTACGTGTAGCATAGATAATAATTCGATCCCTCTGTGACACAGACTAGTTTTATAATCGTGAAGTGGCATATACTGCCTTTGATTTGTTAAGGTATTGTATATCAGCATTAACATTGATTTGATGTGACTTAAGGGTGTACCTTTAATTGATTATCTCTTTACCAGCTCTCAAGAAGGAAGAACGACAGATATTCATTTGTACATTGGCATTGTTATTTACAATTGAAGGAGCACATAGTTACAATTTATATTCAGAGCATTATTCATTGAAATGTTGGTTATTGCCCATAAATACATTATGAATAGTCATATGATTAATCAAATTTAAATTCTCAGTATAGTAGTGACGTCAGTCTAAAGTGCGATTGTTTACGATTTGAAGCCGGTTAGGCCTTTATTCTGACGAGAGGGCTCAAATGCACTTCATGTCCGATTGTTAGTATTCTTATCATCATTTGAACCTAAATCAGAAACATGATGTCTGTTTTAGATTTCCATATTTAATACAGTATAAATGTTTTTTTTTCTTCACAATCGTAACGCTAATAAAGACAGTGTGCGGTGGCCTTTACTCGTTTTAATTTTAATTTTAAAGATTTTAAAGTAAGACTAAGAATAAGACTAATAGGCAAAAAATAAACATTAAAAAGTCTAAAAGATAACATTGAAGGAAAACAAAAATCGTGTTGATGTATATAGGCAGAAAACCTCTTCTAACATAGAACTAAGACCTTGAGGGAGAACTGAGCCAGTATGTTCCTGGTTCTGTATAGAGCAATCTTAACGTATATTCTTTGAATAATTTCTTTGCTTATTTCTTTATCTTCATATGTCTTGATATACGGTTCTATTTGGTTCATCTATTGAAAGAGAAACATCAAAACGTTATGGAATAAAATTACCTTCCTTTCGCCCATTTATTTTAGCATCGACTGCAAAGATCTTTGTGACAGATAAAGGCACCGAGTACAAGATTTTTGTTGCAGATCTACAAGCTGACCTAGACTTCACTTCCATTCCATCCACTAAACAACCCCGTTTTATTACCTATGACTCCGTGGAGAAGAAGATCTACTGGACTGACTTTGATGAACAACGAGTTTATCGTTCTGATGCGGATGGTGGAAACAGGGAGGAGGTCACTTCTGAAAACGATAAAGGTACGGCGTAGAAAAAATCCCTTAGTAAAGCTTTGAAATACACTCAGACGTAACGATAAACTGGCTCCCTATCCAATGATTATATAAAAATACAGAATCTTATATATACGAATAAAACTGTTCAAAGAATCTGACACAATATGACACCGAAATAAAGCTGATTCCAAAACATATTTTCTTTATGAGATGGATATCAACCAACATTGAATGTATACAGATTTGTGTACTATGCAATCTTTGTTTGTTTGTGTGTTAGTTTATTGATTGCTATTACTTTGTGTATTTATTTGGAATCTTTACCCCCCAAAGAATATTTTTGTTCAATCGTTAATTAGGACCCCCCCCCCCCCATTTCAAGATGTTTCGAATTCCTGATTTCCTTTTAATCTCAGGGATCCGAGGAATTGCGATAGCTGAATCATCACGCATTCTGTACATCGCCAACAAAGAGTCAAAGGAAATAACAACTGTGGATATTGGACAAGGAAGCGCATTTCCAGGGAGTGAGACAATCTTTGTAACCACGTATAACAATTACCCTAGGAATTTGGAGGTGGATGAGGAACAGGGGTAAGTAACTTAATTGATTACATCATCATACTGTTGGTTCAGAAGGAGGGGTGTGTGTTGTTAATTGACCCACCCAGACCGTACCACGTAGTACCCCTCATAATTATACTACAGTCAATTGAAAGCCTCCTGAAGTTTTGTATTCAGTGTTTATGTGACTATGTGTTTATCAAATACATGATAATAACGATGATGATGATGATGATAATCATCATCATAATAATGATGATAATAATAATAATAATGATAATAATAATAATAATAATAATAATAACAGTACTAATAATAATCCTAACAATACAAATGAACTGCAGCAAGTACAGTAAAGTGCGAGGCTTGCCCTTTTAATAAACGATTTTCAATACTGAGGCCTTTGTGCGCCACCGCAATACTTGACTTGTTACTTTTCACTTTTCACACCAGGTTTATACTCAAATGATAATGCACGATATGTTTCACTTTAGCAATGGTTACCCGTACATTGATGAAAGGATGACGTTATGACAACTTTTGATTTTCCCGATATCGATATGTATTGACAGGACACTCTTTATTTTTTTCTTCAGATTCTTGTACTGGTCAATGACCAAAGGTATCCAGCGCAAATCTCTCAATGGATCTGGAAGCACGGAGAATGTATACTATAACTTGGGTCTATCCAAAATCACCGGATTAAGCATTGATCTCAGCCGTACGTATTTCATATTTAGAAGGGTTCAGTAAAATGACATGTCATTTCAGATAGATGAATCAGAATTCAACAAGAGTTTATCTATACATGGTTCCACTCAGGTGTTAATGGGTACCCGGTAAGTCATTGTGGTTGGATTAGCATGTAGGCGACTAACTTTAACGCCCCCATTGAGTGGAGAATATGCACTGTATTCTGCAGAATGGTGATAGAATTCAATAACTGGGGTAATTATAATACTGTTAAGTGCTTCATAAGAAACAGGTATTTGCATTATTATTTATTTTGTATACGCTAAATTATCATGAACTTTTTCAAAATATCATTTAGGTAACAAACTTTATAACGTTTCTCAAATATTAAGGCATTTCAGAACCTTGACAAAGAGATGAATTTGATGGGAGAATGAAAATGATAAATGGGGAAACCAAGAGTTGTTTTAATGGGGGTATATAGCCATCAACTCTTTATAATTCTGAACACAATGCATCGGTATGGTTTAATAAAAAGGATAAACACAAGATATATATTAATGCAATAATCATGTTAGTGCCAAGCGCTGAAAAATATAAAAGTTGTTGTGTGTTCTCGTATAGCACTAGTATGTCACACTTGACGACCCTGGTGCACTTCTGTTATTACCCTTAGTTTGACATCAGCCGTGTCGTGTACGTAATTCTTATTTAGAAGGGCCATTGACATCATCCGTGTACGTGGACAGACGAATCGATTTTTCATGAAGGTCTTTGGAATGCAAAATCATGGATTTATCAAGAAAAGACAATTATTTTGCATTCGTATTACAATATCACGATATTCCCTTCATTCCATAATGGAAATATGACTTCGGTGATGTGATAAAATCCCTCATAATTATATTCCCTTCATTTAAAAGCATTACATCAACGTTTTGAATAGTCGCGGGGAGACAGTGTTAGCATTGGCAAATTCAACTATTCAAATATTTAGAAATATGTATGATTCCATTTCCACGTCCTTCTTGTAGTATTAATATAACTGTATAGTTTTTATAATAATATACCATGGGCTAGCAAAAAAAGGAGAAAATTATAGAAATGAATCGAACTTAACTGAAAGGTATTACTTATTCAACCTGACCAAATGTAATACGTCACGTATACCACGTAGTATCTTCAAGTTCTATGTAATTTTGTCTTGTCTTTCCCTCTCAGAATTTGATTTTTAATTGATATCAATTGTTTTTTTGTTTTTTTTTGTTATTACATTTTTATTAAATTAAGGATTAAATTATTTAAGAAGATATTTGTTCTTGTTTTCTTGTAAGATTTGCACGTTTCTTTGTTTTGGCAGGAAATCCACGACGCATATTTTTCTGTGACTATGATAAGAAACGAACTTTCTACACGGACGTAGGCAGTCAAGATGCTCGCGAGCTCACAGACTACATGAATGACCCTGACATCGATGGCGATGAAGAGCGAACAAAACTGCGAGATATCAAGTACTTCAATGGCACCCTCTACTGGACGAAGGAAGGCAGTCCCAAAGGCATCGCTGTAATGACTAAATACGATCAAAGCAGCCGATCATTCAACATCAAAGAAACCAATGAGATTAGCACACCCTCTCGATTTATCATTACTAATGTAGATCCATGATCGATATTTGATAAAAAAGAGCCCGGAGGTCTATTGTTTATTTGATTCAGCGCAGTCAACATTGTCATGTCAGATATGACATGGGAAACCACCGAAAAAACGCCCGTTTTTTGTTTTTATGGGGGGGGGGGATTAATTTTGTTGGGGGTGAGTTTCTTTAATGTAAATGAATGACAACAAAGGTACTATGCGTATTCACTGAACTCAGATACTGTTGTCAGATACAGAAATATGAAGCGCGTAACACTTCATCATTACGTCATCGTCAAAATAAAAACACCGCCGAATTTTTTCCACGTAATATCTGAACGAGGGATTTTCGCTTAAATTGTATTACCAACATTTTCTCTGATGTCTAAGCTTTAAGTTGATACCAAATTTGGCTGCCCGATCTTGCCGTTGTTATGTTAGAGCCGATTTCCCTTGCCACATTGCCCCGAAAAAATGTGGGTTTTTTTTTGGTCCGCGGCTGAATCATGAAGGATTCGTGGTCATAAATCACGGCGCGAGGGGGCGCGTGACACTTGTTCTGACACCGCGGACCAAAATAAACACATTTTTTCGGGGCAATGTTGCAAGGAAAACGGCTCTAACATAATAACGGGCAGAATCGGGCAGCCAAATCTGGTATCAACTTAAAGCTTAGACATCAGAGAAAATGTTGGTAATAAAATTTAAGCGAAAATCCCTGGAAGTCTAAACATTTCCTCTGGATTTATAACAAATAAATCCCCAAACATGAGTTTTGGCGCACGTTGGTTCCTCCCTCGCCCACTGTGCGCTGTAGCTACAAGTATGTCAAAGTTTACCCATCTTAAAGGGAGAATGCTTGAAAATCTCATATCGAATTGAATATTGCAGTATGTATTTTCTAGAATGTAGGCTTGTGCTGAAGTTATCGGGGTTGTTTTAGAGGATCAGTTAATAGTTCTTTCTTGTTCATGCTATGTCTTGCTAAGGTTTTGCTTTTAATTGATATGCTCCTTTTATACTTATTCTGTTTTGCCTTTCAAAACGAAATTGATGGAACCGTGTATTCCAGAGATATGAACCGTAATTTTTCAGACAAGGCTAGTAACAAGTCTGTTTGCATGGTATAAACTCCTTGAAGTGATAGGTTATTATCATGATTGCTCGAATACTAGCTATCAAACTCTCATTAATGTCAAACATTCCATACTCATAACTAAGATTTTTATATCTTGGCCAAAATAAAACGCCATGAAACATTATTATAGTCAAATGTCATTGTGTACGGAATCTGAATGCAATCTCGCAAGATTTTGAGAATGCAGAAGTGTAACTTGAATTTTCGAATTATTTACCTAGGTAAACTGATTGGAGATACTTGTATAAAAAAAAAAAATAATTATCGATTGTTTGTTAATCATATACAATACTTGTACATATTGATAACTTATTTTCTTCAAATTTGTTGTTCATAGGTGTTACTGACGATGACGTAGATCTCATCTTCTGATATAGTGTACTGTGTGAACTTAACCTTGATCAGTTTATTTAATGTTTTGAGTGGGATTCGTTTGTATGTATATATATATATATATATATATATATATATATATATATATATATATATGTATCCTGTAGAGTGCAATATGTATATGTATTTCAAATATTTATTTAATTATAATGAATGGTTTTCTGATAGTACAGATAATAGTATATGTTGTATTGCTTTCGTAGGGATTATACAGGACTTTGTGTGCTTAGCATTGGTCAAGACTACATATTATTTTCATTTAGAAATATGACTTTTTAAACCGAAATATTAGCATTTCGTAGCAAAACGTTTAAGATTGCTTTCAATCCTACTTTGCTGTTGATTGCTGTGAAACTAAGTTAAACCGTATGTGTTAAACCTAAAAAGAGAGAATCAATTGTAATAAGTATATGCATTATGTTTTGAAACCAATAATGCTGTGCGGTTGGGAAAAGGATAGCAAAGACGAACGATTTCCAAACAGTAGTTTGTTCGTTATGTTTGTGGGTTCATGGCTGTATAATATATTCGATGAACTTCTAATGTCTTTCTGTGAAGAAATAATGGAAATTTAAAAACCGAAAATACACACGAAAGAGGAAGTTTGGTTAATGCTCATCAATGTTCTCTGACTATCGACATTATGTCCGGGAGATTTATCCTATCACATATTTAGGCAAACAGTGCAAATCGAAATATTGTAAAACCGTCAAAGTATTTGGTTTTCATCCTTCCCCTTAATCGCCTATCGTACACAAATAATATGATTCAATTTTTATGTAGGCAAAGTGATGTTGATCAATTATTCAAAAACAATTTCTACCATTCGAGGACATTGATAACTTATTTCCTTCAAACTTGTTGTTCATAGGTGTTACTGACGATGACGGAGATCTAAGCTTCTGAAATAGTTTACTGTGTGAACATAAATATACCTTCATCAGTTTGTTGAATGTTTTGAGTGGGATTCGTTGATATATATATATATATATATAATTTTATATACGTATCCTGTAGAGTGCCAAAATGTAATGTGTAACTGTATTTGAAATATTTATTAATTAAATTAATAATCATAATGAACAGAAACGCATTCATAGTCTTTTGACAGTACAGATGAAAGGATATATTATAGTGCTTTCGTAAGGATGAAATAGGCCTTGATATGCATCGGTCAAGACTACATTACATTTACAAGTATGATTTTGGGAATTTAAATATTAGCATTTTGTTGCAAAACTTTCAAGAAAGCTGTCATTTCTTTGTTGTTGGTTGCTGTGAAATTAAATTATACTGTATGTGTTACACCTAAAAAAGAGAATCCATTGTAATGACTGTGCATTATGTATTGAAACCAAATAATGATATGCGGTTTGAAGAAGGCTAGCAAAGAGTAACGATTTCCAAACAGCAGTTTCTGTACATTTATGGGTTCATGGCTGCATGAAATATTCGATTAACTTCTAATGTCTTTCTGTGAAGAACATTGGAAATATAAATACCGAAAATACACTCTAAATAAATACAACCTATCGATAGAGGACGTTTGATTAATGCTCATCAATATACTCTGACTATCGACATTATGTCCGTCCGGGAGACTGTTTCTATCACATAGTTAGGCAAACAGTTCAAATCTAAATATTGTATAACCGTCAAAGTATTGGGGTTTTAATCCTTTCCACTTAATCCACTATCGCACACAAATAATATGATTCAGTTTTTACTAATATCTCCCCCCCCCCCAAGAATAAAAAGGAAATAAAATACCCCAAAAAATGAATATTCCACTGAACTGCAAACCGCCCAAATGAAATCACTATTTATCAGCATTGGTAAAAAATAGAAACGAGATGAGAGAGAATGAACTCCATGGCGACCAGAAGTGCAATGAATCGTGCATGACATACACATATCATCATTATCCATGCAATGAGCCATGTCATGAACACCGCTATTAGTATAATTGTTGAAAACCGAATTTAACTCTACTATGTTTAGGATAAGTAGGTGATCATAATCTGATGTGTGCAGTGTTGAGAAAGCGCAAGCGAATAATAACGTAGGCAAAGTGATGTGTATCAATTATTCACAAACAATTTCCGCCATTCAAGGCCAATGTGCAATGCTAAATTGCAACAACAACAAACATTTTAAACAGTAGAAAGAAAATCGCCTCCATAGTTGACGATGCCACTTTATCATTAAAAAAAATCAACATGACAATAATGAAGCTCAATTCAAGTGCAAGCTAATACTTACACCAAATATCACAGTTTTTAATTTTTAGAGTATACATGCAATTGACCTGAAAAAAAGAAAGAAAGAAGAAAATGGCCTCCAATAAGAGGAAGTCCACGAGAAGAAGTAGAAGAGTAGAGTTTAAATGAAATAATACAAGATAATGAATGATATATGTAATCCTAGATGATAAATAAGCAACTTTTAAAATCAAAAGTGGTTGCCATAACCTTGAAATTTCCCTCAAACCCATGGATAAGAAGTTATTAAATGTTTGTCACCGAAACAGCAGCCATTTGAATGTACATGGTCAAGGTAAGCACTTTTACTTTTGAAAGTTGTATAGTTGAAATCGCCATGTCAGAAAACATATTATAAGACCCTAAAATCATAAGAATCGGACAATGTTAACTGTGTTGGTAAATTCGACCACCAGTCTAAAGTGCATTGACCTTTTTGACAATAGCGCCCTCATTCAAGGTCGGAGGTATAACAAACTATACATTTTTGGAATCCTCGTGATCAGACGAGTAATTTGATATGAAATTTGATAAGGTTATTAAACTGTGTTGGTGAATTTGACCACCAGTCAAAAGTGTGTTGACCTTTCAACGTTTTTGACCATAGCGCCCTCATTTAAGGTCGGAGGTATAGCAAACTATACATTTTTTTTATTCCTTATGACCGGACGAGTAATTTGATATGCATATCGACACGATTGGAATATATTTGAATTTCTACCCTGTATGACCTTTGTTGACCCCTCACGAAAATGCCTGGGATTTTCAAGGGGGCAGCCCAAGTCAAAATTGTTCGGTATTCATCAGTGAACACAAAAACACTTTCAAAACTTTGTTCCCAGAGATTGGTCACGGGACCTACAGGCTGCTCTCTTACTACCTGTACATTCATTGGCTGATATCATTTATGCCACTGATGTCATGCTTCTTACTGCACATGTATGAATTGTATTTTTGTTTATTGTTGCTAAGGCTCAATATATTGATCTCTTTTTATTCCTGAAATGATATTTCGGTAGGGATTATCATTACCTATTAATTGGTTTTGGGGGATGTAGCTTCTCTTCTTGGTTGTCTGCTTACCTGGTACAAGAGAGAGAATGAAATCCACCAAGCGTACCCCGACAGTTAATGATGTATCACTTATTCATTATCGATTTCAATATATTTAGCCAGGGTGGCCCACTCAGCAATAAGCTGGTCTTCCGAGGAAGCCCTGGGAAAATGGTGACAACTTCATGCATGTAAAAATATGAAAAAAGTACTCATAGAAGTGTACAATTGAATCTAATATAAAGTATAGATGAACATAGATTTAAAACAATAATACAAATGACAACAGATTTGTGTGTCATATCTGTAAACAACTCACTGCTAGAGAACAATAATCATTCAATCTTACACCAAACAGTTTGTGAATAAAAAGATATTACAAACTTAGGGGTTTACAAAATAAGATGTTTAAATTCCATATCTTG